ACGGGCCATTACAAAAGAGACATTTAGCTGGTTTTGAGGTACTTCCTGTTTCAAGTGCAGAGTCTATGTTTATCTTTTATAAACAGCTTAATACTCATAATTTGTGTTTGGGTTACAACATGTGCATGCACACAGACTCACTGAGCTCAGTTCAAGTGTAGAAACCATCATGAAATGTACTTTAACTTAGTTCACTTCAGGTTTATTATGTTTACATCATCGCTCGAGGTATTCAAATATCGATAACAGTTGTTACAAAGAGCTTCAAAGGACTCTAGTATAACAGCTTAAAACTGAATCACTGACCAGGCCTCTCGTCTCCGTTCCTGCTGCGTCTGAGAGGAGAGACTGGCGTCGTGCAGAGCTTTCATCCTCCCCTCTTCTCTCCAAGACTCGAAACAAAGACTGCTGAGAGACCGAAGCGCTGTGTTCTTCCATATGTGAGCCTTCACTGTCTAAAGATCAACAAAGGAATAAAACACTGTGCTATCAGACAGCCTTTGTCACATCTCAGCATCTTAACACTCCTACCTAAACTATCAAGGTGAAGACAGAGCATCGCCTTCAAATAAACATGTCCATTTTGTACCTGTTTTCCCAGCAGAGCTGAGGGAGAGGTCAAGTTCCCGAGTATATTTGTCTATAATTTGTTGGATACTGCTGTCACTGAACATCGAGTCCACAGACAGACCAGGAGGGCCAGTCGCTGAGTTTTCCTTAACACAGAAGCTCTCACCAGACAGACAGGAGACGTGTTGTATATCTGCTCCACCTTCTTGTTGATCAGTGCGTTTATGGAGGAGAGATTTATCTAAAGTAGAAGAAGAAGAACCAGGTCGGCACATTAGAAGTTTAGCAAAGTCAGAAACACAATGCAAAATAAGAAATAAAAATACAGTGAAATGAATCTAAACCAAGTACTTTTGAAATTCCTAAACCTACCCAAGTAAGTTTTCTGCCAAAACCTTTTATTAATCTCATGATTAATAATAAAAATTAAAATGAACATTTCCTGTGTGTCAATAACCTTACTCTGTCCCTGCTTCCCCGTTTTCCCCTGCTTTTCTTTCACTAAAGCCCCAAAATGCCCCAGTTTAGATGTGAAAACCATCAGAGACTCATGCTGTGGCTTCTGATGTGAGCAGCCAAAAAAGAAATGATTCAGACCATGGCAAAGTCCTCCACACTACAATCACAGACTTTTCCAGCCCTTAAAAATATTATTAATATTATAATAATAATAAAATATGAAAAATAATCATTTGGGTACGTGGACATGAATCAGTACATTAAAAGCTGGAGCTATAACAAGAACTGCTGTGAGACTGTGATGGTCAGTTGTAAGAAGGTCGTCTTATTAGGTCATTTTAAACAGGGAGAAGTTTAAACGGCTTCTTTTAGACAGAAAATGAAATTATGAGCTGCACAAAGACCCAGAATCATGCAAAGTTACTTTAAAATCCAAGAATAGTAATCTGGAAGTGGGAATGAGCAGAACAGGTTCACTTTAAAGTTTAAGTAAGTCCATGCAAATGCACAGCAGCACACAGCTGTAACATATAAACAACATGCTCCCTTATAATCCTTACAGTTTGACCATATTATCCGTTTAATCGTGAAGAACTACCCCAGTTTCTGCTGGATCCTCTGATTTAAAGCTGCACAGACATGTCACCTACACACCTGGCTGTTCCTCACTGGTGTTTACATTCTGCTCTGGGTCAGTAGTCATGTAGCTTCCGGTGGAGATGGTAGTAGAAGAGAAGCTGTCAGACCCAGGAGGCCTGTTTGGAGACTGACACAAAATAAACTGTCATGGCATCTTATCTTGTTATAGAGATAAACACACTCTGGACACACATTCATACAGTTGAACATATTGAGGCATTTTGAAATGAAAGCACACACAAACTTATGTTTTGAATATTTAATGCATTTGTATCTATGAGCATCCTGACCAGTAGG